AACCTGAATCACAACTGAGCCGGCTTTAATGTTAGAAAAAACAAAACTTGACCAACACGAGTTTTTTTTTGACGTAGTCAAAATACATGAAGCCTTACCAATGCATGAAGTTGCGACAACAAGGATAAGAGGTTGGTGAGCAAAACTTACAAACCATATTTTTCAAAAAAAAAAAAACATTTTTTTTTGAATTTTGGGAAGAGTTATACAAGGTAATAAGTTCCAAATTGGAGCTAAGGATATATAATATAACATCAATTGATGACTGAAAGGGTTCCAGGAATGAAAGAGCTTAAACAAAAAAAAAACAATCCAAAAATAAGTAAGCAGGCTTAAACTAGTCTTATGGCGCTCTCTCAAATGATGTTCTTGTGAAAAGATTTCTTCATTTGTAATTCTGTACGTGTGATGATTTCACTTGGCCAAACTGTGCATTACGAGGCCAAACTGCATGCTGTGCATTGTATGCGGATTCCAGAACCGGCCAAAGTCAGATTTGTCGCGGAATCCTCAACATTGCTACTTTTCTTTGATCTTCCTTGGTGTTTTGGATTCCACAAATAAATACTTAAAACCTTGCACCAGTCAAAATTGCTTCAAAAACAGGCAAATTTGCGGAATTCGCAACTGTTTTTACGGAATCCAGAACAATTTGTGGAGTCCACAAACAAATAACAATTAGTTGCATTGAGCTGTTGAGGAATCCGGAACTGTAAACGGAAACCGAAAAGTGTGAGTGGAATCCGCAAACTGTAATTGGAATCCGCATTTTGTTTGCGAATTTCGTTTAAATATATATAAATATGTAGTAGCGTTTAAAAGTTTATCTTTTATTTACTTGATTTGATTTCACTAGAATAGGAATTTACTAGATCAGTGTTAGGGATTAATGGAATCCCAATTACTGACCTGTATATGGTATCGATGAAATCCCAAATACTGAACTATTTCTACGATTTGCTATGCGTTGGGTTTCTAATCACTCTCAACCCAATGACTCCAAATAATGAAATTATTTCATATTTTTTACATATTATTCCAGTTTTTGGGATTCCATCAATCCCAAGTACTGACCAGTATTTGGGATCGGTGGAATCCCATTTACTGACCTAATTTAGCGATATGCTGTGTGTTCTGTTTCCATACACTCTCAACCCAATGACTACACTTACTGAAATTATTCGGCGTTATGCTTCCAAAATCAGTATTTGAGATTGACGCGATCCCAAATACTGACCTAATTTGGAGATATGCTGTGTGTTGTAGTTCCGTACACTTTCAACTCAATGACTTCAAATATTGAAATTGTTCGGCGCTGTGTTTCCAAAATACTAAAAGATGACATCCACCAAGATTTAGGTAACCATTGTTCTAAGACTTGTTCTTGGATTCCGCTGACAAAGGTTAAGTCCTTTCTTTTAAATTCCGCATTGCTAGAAATAAGAACTCCAGCTCTACCTTTTAGTTGTTCATTTGCAAGTTCAGCATTGAGCAAAATTCAGAATCCCTTTACAGTTGCGGAATCCGCTAACCTTTGCGGATTCCACTTACAATTTGCGGAATCCAAAACAACTAGCTATATTCGCTTGTTGCGGAATCCGCGACACAACAAATATGCCGACAAAATTTACGTTACACTTAAATGTTCGCGGAATCCACGGAAGTTTTATAAATGAAATCCACTAACAATTTGGAACATGTTTAAAGACTTGTTTTTGGAATCCAGGAACATACAGACACAAAATTATGCGCCTATCCAGTGCACAGTTTGGCCTCGTAATGAGATATATAATATAACATCAATTGATGACTGAAAGGGTTCCAGGAATGAAAGAGCTTAAACGTAAAAACAATCCGTAAATTAGTAAGCAGGCTTAAATTAGTCTTATGGCGCTCTCTCACCTTATGTTTTTGTAAAAAGAATTCTTCATTTTTAATTTTGTACGTGTGATGACTTCACTTGGAAACAATTTATTATCATTATTATTAAACCTCCTTCTGGTGTTAATGCAAAGGTAGGTTAGATAAATGGTTTATATTAGCTACCATCGATAGAAAATGTTGCCAAATTGATTGAAGAGCGACACGCAACTTTTGACCTGAAACCAAAATAACAGCATTTCAGAAGAATCGTCGACTCTCCCCGATATCAAACAACGAAGTAAACTATCTATTTGATCTTTTGCTTAGATACCTAATTTTTTTCATAGTCATAACTTTCTTTCAGAAATTTACATCAATTATCAGATAACTAATTCCGTCCATAATTCCGTCCAAGACATTTCAATAATAATTTTAGAGCCAGGTCATTATCACAGAAAAATCGACAAAAACTTTGCTCAAGTGCAATAATTTAGTCTCGTTTTAGTCACGCGTCGGATTTTCACCTGAGCCCAATAAACAAAACTACAACACTACCCATCCCCGAGACGACTCCACCCAGAATGGCTTCGGAAATGATGAGGAGGGGGATGGGGATGGGGCATTCTCCCCACAGTCGGATCACGAGGATCAGCAAGAGCAGAAACAGAGGGGGGCGGGGGCGCTGCTGAACAGATATGACGTGGATAGGTTCAGGAAGTCTTATTTGAATATAATCTACGTGGCTATGCTCGAAGAGGGATACAACAAATCATACAAAGAGGTCTGTATTTTTCTTTTTTCCTGCTATACCGGAGAAAGCGTTCTTATTTGAAATATGAATATTTTCTCGCCGGCTGTCGAAAAGTTTCAATCTTTGTTTCACTAGCCGCAAAAATATTGAAGAGCTTTGAGTGAATGAAAAAAAAATTGTTTGACAAAAAATGCCACGTTTTGAAAGACTTATTATATTATTGAGGGTATAAAATACACGTGCTGAAACTAAGTTTCACGAACCAAAGTAAACAGCTGGAGCTGAATTCATCATGAGATCTTCATTAAGAAGTCATGATTTGAACAAGTCTGTGGAGGCTTTTCTGTTGGTCAGTGTCTACACAATAGCAGCAGTTTGCATCATAGGGACGTTCTTCTTCCTTTGTATTTGTCACCACTATAAGAGATAAAGAATTTGCGGAAAGTTTTTTTGACTTAGATTATTTTGATTTTTCGAGATCCCCTAATAGCATATAAAGACCATATTTTGTCGAAAAAAATCGAGTGGCCGCCGAATTGTAGCAAATAGGCCAAAATTGGTGTTTTTGAATAGGTGACCATATGAAAAAGAATACCATATGTATTAGAATAACATTTGAAAAATAAAATCCATTTAAAACAGAATATCATATGGTTCGTAACGATGGCTTGTCAAAAAGAAGAAGAGCTTATAGGTATATGCAGTCTGTGTATTTTGGTTGGGTCGACTGTCCGGCGGTACTTGGCATGTTTCTCACACCATAAAACACGATGTTTCATCAACCCAATTGAAGCATTGTTCAGCCAAAACACTGCTTCCAGGAATGGAAAGAAAAAAATCTACAAAGAAGAAAACTAAACTCAGCTGATCTTGAACTAAATATAGAAAAATCGACCTTTTTTAAAGTTTTTTTATCAGTCACAGGAAGCTGAACGTAAAACAAGTTCAATTATGGCCGAAATATGATTCCGGTGTGTGTGATTCCGGTTTGGAACTTTGGATTCCGCCAAAATTGTGCTTGTCGATGGGATCTAAATCAACCTTGACTAAGCTTTTAGTACATGTTCTAAAGTCATTTATTGCCTCTAATGGATATCAGTATATGTCTCTAAAATGTGGATTTCTTTTATTTGCCCGCTAATCCGAAACCAATCTTAATGCCTAGTTTTTAATCATAGCCTAATGGTTCGATTGCGTCAGGTTTTTGACTTCGAAATGTTTTCAAATTTCTGGTGAACTGTGAAATACATGTATAAGAAAACCACGAACAATGTCTATGAAAATCACTTCGCTGACCAAGTAACTGAGATCAACTCGCTGACCAAGTACCTGAGCTTAAGGTACTTGTATGATGAAAATTCATAATTGATGCAGTTTAAGTCTAACATTAAATTTGTGGGATTAATAGTTGTTAATTCAAGTTATTACTGAGCAAATCATAAACAAGACTGCTCGTATCAGGGCGAAGCCCTGAAAGTTCCGACTGCCTTTTAAACTTTATGGAGCAGTAATAACATTTAAAAAGAATTGATTGCAATAAAAAAAATGAAAAAACTCACTTCTAAAATTTGAATTTTTTTTGCGAAAATCATCACCCCACACGCCATATAGACTACAAAAGAAGAGATTTCGCTCCTTATATCAAATCAATTAGTGACAAATAAGCTTCTTCCAACCAATTTGGAACGATTTCTAAGACGGATTAAATTTCCGCTTACACGTTAATAGCGCGTTAATAGCGCGTTAATTGTCCCAAATTGGCCTAAATGGCAACCTTTAAACCCCCATAACTTTACGAAAAATGATCACAGGTAAAATATCTTTTCAAATTTAAGCTCAGGACAACAATACCTTTTGAATAGTATTAAAAGATTCCGTCAAAAATGGCTAGTTAAAAAGTCGAAAATTGTCTGAAGAAAAAAAACCCAACCCGAGCGCAAATATTCCGTTACTTTCGTATCGAAAGTCGGAACAATTACCCTAAGGGGACGGTAAAGAACCATATAATTCATTATGTTAATTAATTGAGACCGCTAAATTGCCTTCATATCAAACCGTTCCCCTGACCAAAAAAGATTAACTTCTGCAATTTTTTTTATCCTTGTGATATTTTTAGATTTTTTTCTTTTAAAATATCTTAGCAAAAAAAGTGCGCTTTCGAAAAAAACTCACTAAAACATAAATGAATAATTCCAAAAAAAAAACAAAAATTATCGGCCGCTCCACAAGCAGCACCTTTCTTTTTTCTCTAGCAGGCTGTTTTTGGGAGCCGTACAAAAAACGGAGAGGATCTAAATGCTTAGAAAATTTCGTGATAACATTTGTCTAACAAAACGAAGAGCAAAACAGCGGAAAAAAACGTTGGTCAGTTTTGAAATTTTGTTTGAATTTTATCATTGTTAAGTGCCACTAAAACGCTTCTTGAATCTTCGTAAAGTTCAAGATTTTCATGGTTTTGACAGTAAGTTCCAACCACGTAACTGAAAAAAGACTGAGAAAAGCAATCAAGTGATTAGAAGAACTAAGCGAAAGCTTAATAAAGTTTTAAATTAAGAACGATACACTACAGCTGCATTCGAAAAAATATTAAAATAAATTCAAAAAATGAAAGTTGTTTCTTTTTTCAGATTTTTGCAGAACATTTTTGCAGAACTTGTACTTGCTCGCCTTCATCGATCGAAATTAGACAAAAAGCAAAAACTCCAATACCAATACCGAGAATTTTTTGAAAGTTTTTAATGCTGTTCGAATCACAGTTAACATTTGAAAATGATATATCACTCAAAACCCACCTGATGATTTTTCTACCATTCCTTATTTTTTGCACGGAAAAAAATTGGAAACGAAAAAAAAAAAACTAAAACGAAGTACACACCCGAAGATAATGCTCCTCCCCAATTTCAGGGGTCGGAACATCATAGCTTTATTAAATCAGAACCTTTTCACCAAGTCTACCAGTGTAAGCTGAAATTATTGTTCAGACTCATCGCTCATGAGTTGACAAATACAATTAGAGCAGATCTTGACTATTTCCCTTCGAAACCTTAGGTTCGAGTTATAATTTATTTCATTTACACTTCAAAAACTTTGATATTCTTTTTGGTTGCAGCTGTTCAACTTGGTGACAAGTCAAGTGGCGAAGAGAGAGGAAGCGGGACCCAATTCATTTCTGTGGTTCAAGCCCCTCCTGAGGGACAACAGACAGCATCTGGAGACCCTGTCCTACTTCCTCTGTCGCTCAGAGGAGGCCCAGAGGGAGGGCAATCTGGCCAGGGTGTATGGGGAGAGACTGATGTTGGCAGAGTACTTCGAACAAAACAGTTTCGATGAGCTTGCCACTCACTTCTACAAGTGAGTGTCTCAATAATTGAGTATTCTATTTTCAAATTTCAAAAACTATGAACAATTTCATAAGTTGTTTTTAGAGCATCGATTTAAAAACTAAGGATAATTTTTTAACAAATCTTTTTCACCAGTTGGGGGCTAATCCTGACTCAAGCTATCGCTATTTTTAGAGTCAAGGTTTAATTTTTGGCTGAGCTACCAATAAAATCTACTTAGTTGTATGCAAATGCGGTACCAAAAATTAGGTGCAACCAAAAACATGCAAGTTGTGTTTAAAGCATTCGGTGAAATTGAATAGTGCAAAATTTGAACGCTGATGTTTTATTTTACAAGTATAATTGGAAATCTACTCGATCTTGAAAAAAAAAACTGAAAAAAAAAAATACTTAAGATCATAAATTTTCCGCTTCTGTGATTATATATTTCTAAGGGGTTGCTATGTTTAGATCGTGTCTGCGCATCAGCAACGACATCGAAGACGAGGGCCTCACTCATGCACAAGCAAACTGTTTTATGGGACAAGACGTCTTCTCAAAGGGTAACAACCTTTTAGACGAATAATTCTACATGTATGTTTTAGTAAATTAAATGCAATAAATAAGCGCGTCTCAAATGAAACTTGAAGGCACGTACAAAAACTTATTTAATTTCTCGGCAATTTTAAAGGCCGGCGCCTGATTTTGACAGTTTAGCAAAAAAACCTTAGGATCTCGAGGCTCTACTCGGATGACTTTACACTTTACTCCTTTTCGACCCTTCTGTGAGCTTTCCTTGAATGACTTCACGTTGACTATATTCTAGGCGAGACAGAGGAGGCACTGGAGTACTTTGAGAACTACTATGAGTTGAGTAGGGACCAGGAGTGGACCAATGAGCACGGGGTGTCCCTAGTGCAGGATGCGTGCGTCAAACTACTCCGAGTGTACATCAAGATTGGGGACCAGTGTCTCAGTAAAGGTAACAGCGAAGGCAGAGAGTTTCATCTAAGAATTAAGAGCTAGAGGAGGGCAAAATCAAAACGCTGTGAAGATCATAGTATTGGTCTGCGAAGACGAAAACAGCAAAAGAGTGTAAAAATGGGAATTTTTGGACAAAAAAAAGCCAATTGGGAGTTTGATTTTTTTGAAGATTTTTTTTTGCGGCTCAGATTAATTGAGCTTCTTCAAAAACATACTGTGGAAGATGATGTGTTAGAAACATCACTGAAAACCTCTTGAGTCAAAAACTGCATGACATTCTTTGTATGACAAGCAGTGGAAATGCTTAATGAAAATGTTCAAGTGGGCTTATTCGAGACTAAATTAATTTCATTTCATGTTCAAAATCATATTGCCAATCATTGACTCTTAATTTGAAAGTTCAATTTTAGCATCAATTATTTGTTTAATTTTCGTTGTCGTTGTATTGTGTAGGCGATGACAAGACAGCAGTGGCTTACTTCCGCAAGGCGCAGGACTTTGCTCAGGCCAGTGGGGTGGCGGAGGAGGAGGCGACTACCCAGTACAGACTGGCATGCAGTCTGCAGCAGATAGGGGCCAACACGGAGGCCATCTCCCTCTTCACCTCCTACAGGGACAAGTGCTATCACATTGGAGACTTCAAGGGTCAGTCGCACAGTTTTTTTTAGTAGTGTTTAGTTTCACACATCTCACAGAAATTCATTCACAGGATTATGAGTGGAATTCAAACAGTAAATTTTGTATTCCCACTTACGAAGAGGCCCGTACCCAAGAGATTTTTTGAGCACGATCTAAATGACTTTATTTCTAACATAAGTTGATTTTCAAATCTGAAATTTTTTATTTCAGATCTTGATAAGAATTTGAAAATTTCAAATAGGAAATAGCCTTGAAAAACTAAATTTCAGATCTGAAATTAGATCTGAGAAACCTTTTGTTAAATTATAATTTATACAATTAGAGCAAGCAATTGACTTTTTGTTTTTTGATGTTTCTGCAATACATCATTCTGTTAAAATTAACAAGCGGTAAAAAAAATCCGAATAATTTGACAAAAATTTTTTTTGCAAATAAATTTTTTCTTCAACTGTATTAAAAAGTTTTCAGAAACTGTTAAAGACCTATCAAATTTTTGATTTTCATGCGCTACTTGTGCGATTCCAATGTTTATATTATGCTTGAGGAAACCTATTTGCGCAGTCTTCCGTTTGAGACTTTGCTGAGTACCTACTAGTAGCTAGAACAAGCTATTAAATACAAAAGTATCAAAAATAGCAAAAATTGTGTCAGAATCATTGATTTTTCAGATCTGAAACAATCAAGAAAAACTAAATTTCAGATCTGAATTTAGATCTGAAATAAACCATTCCTTAAGTATCCAAGCGTTATTTTAACATTTCACAACCCATTTCAAATCTGAAGTTTCGATCCGAAAAAGATTATTTCAGATCTGAATTAGAACATTTACTAGGTACGGGGGTGAAAGAAATAACTTTAGCAGACAAATTTTGACTCAAAATTTTCTTTTTAAAAATCATTGTGAAAATAAAACAGTTTACGAATCAAGCACTTTACAAAATTCTTTTTTAAATAAAAATACAATTTTGGTACCGCCAATTCGAATGGTCACCCTAAGGCAACAAGCCTGTTTGCAGGTGCCATTTGAGAATCAATTTATACATTCTGAAAAACTAACTGAAAAAATTATAGCCCGTGTAGTTTTGTGGTCGAAAAAAGGATGGGTACTGTAGTAGATCGACCTGGTAAAAGATCTAGCCTCCTTTGCTGCTTACATGATAAGCACGCGCGTTCCTTATTCCCCAAAACACCAAATTAGTTATTTTCAAAGCCCTATGATTTTTCAAATGAAAACAAGTCTGCTCGCATCAGGGCGAAGCCCAGAAGGATCCGACTGCCTTTCTAGGTCGTTGGTACAGTAATAACATGAAAAAATTTAATGTAAAAAAATAAATGAAAAGAAAAATTGAAATTTGGGATTTTTTTTTGTAAAAATCATCTCCACTCGCCATATAAAGTACAAAGTGATAAATTTGGCTCGTGGTATCATATCAATTATGGCAAAAGAGCTTCCTTCAACCAACTTGGAACGATTTCTAGGACGGATTAAATCTCCGCTTACGCGTTAATAGCGCGAAATGAATCGCGCGTTAATTGTCAAAAAAAGGCCAAAATGGCATTTTTTAAGCCCCCATAACTTTACGGAAAACTATCACAGATGAAATGTCTCGTCAAATTTAAGCTTAAGCAATACCTTTTGAATGAAACAAAGAATTATGTCAAAAAAAGCTGGTTAAAAAATCGAAACTTGTCTGAAGAAAAAACCACCCGAGCACAAATATTCCGTTACTTTAGTTACGAAAGTCGGAACGATAACAGGCGAAATCTATATTTTGCCTGTTTTTTATTTGAAAAGTCAAAAGGGTTTGAAAACAACAAATTTCAGTATTTTTGTGAAATAATGCACGCGCGCGCTCATCGTGTTAGCGGCGAATGAGGCTAGGCTTTTTTACCATACCGACCTACTACAAAACTGACCTTGCGTTTTTTTGGCACGCTTCCCCTTCAAAGTTACCATATGTTGGCTCCAAAGAAAACTTTTAGGGCTGGTTGGCCGAAACTGGGTGTAATAAAAAGATATCAAAGGGCGACCCTTTGATTGGTGAGGGGGTCGAATCTCTGAAGGAAAGGAGCGTCTCCCTCGCCCCTAAATCCGCCCCTGATTGTGGCACTCCAATATCTTAGACCAATATTTCTTGAAAGTTCATCTCCTAGAGTTTTATGATTTGAAAGAACTCAACGAAGCTCTTTCTCTTATACTTATTTCACGTCAGCGCCTTGTCGAGGGGGAGGCGGCTACTCCCTATCTCAACTCACGGGAACATCCATCATCTATCTCAAAACATAGGGAGCCTTATCTGATTACCTGGCCTGGAAAAACCTACTCTCTATCTTCATACATAAAGAAACTTATTCCCAATCTTTTTCCCAATCAGACCGGATGTCTATGGCCTATCTTGATACATGGTAGTCTGACGGCGGTTTCGGAAATTTCATGGGGCTTGTCAGGCAAAAATTACTGTAAAAAAAGAGTGCCAGAAATTCATCCCTACATTTGCTACCAAAATTGGGGTGGAGCTGATGCTCCTTCCCCCTCGGACCTACAGACTTATGCACTAAGACAGGGAATAGGTTTTCCTATGTATCAAGATAAAGTGAATGTTTTTCTTGTATTATGATAGGGAATAGCCGCACTTCAGGACGCCACTGACTATAATTAATTAAGGGAGCTGGATATTCAAGATATTCGGCTTTCAAGACGGGTGTGAGAAATCATGGATGCAAGAGTAAAAATAGAATGAGGTCAATTACTGAAATGTTATGCATCCCCCGATAAACGGGTTGCTTATGTGACTCTTAAGCTCAAGACTAGAAAAAATGAAAACAAAAAGTTTTGGTTTAAAAAAATCTATTTATATACGTAAATGATAAAAAGCATTGCAAACTGTTATTTCTGGTTAAACCATGCATAATTTAAAGGTACGTTCTCCCCTTGGCTTTCTCTTTTTCTATTTCTTACCTAATAATGTACTGAAAATTACGGTTATTGTAGCTCAAATTTTTAACTGGTTAAAATCAAGAGTGTTAGTTTATCTGCCTCAGAAGATTCCGGATAATAGCTAAATTATTTTTCGCGATTTTTGTGGGAGAAAATAGTTCATTGTCGAGACGAAGGGGAAGGTAGATGGGATATAAGAAGAAAAAAGCGAATTAATTAGTAAATGCTTTAAAAGAACATAAATTGACACCTGGAGAGTCTTATGATTTCCGCAAGACCACTATAAAAATGTAAAAAGCTCTCTCAAAATTTTTTTGAACATGAACTTCTCCATTTTTTTTCGAAGTCAAAAAAGTACCTGAGTTCTCTTGCTGTAATGCCAGTGACATCCGCTAGATTGTAGCGAAAGACCAAGATGACTCCTCGAAAACTAAGTTTTTTTTCTCAAATCAAAAAGTTTAAGGTTAAACGAACTAGAAAAAAGTAAGGTGAAAAAAATATAACAAAAAACTTAGAAAACTGAATCAAATACCTCACTTAAACTGCTTGAGCGGTCTCAAGCACAGAAACGTTGCAATGGCGATCGATCATGGTGTCATAGTATCTAAACTAGTTCATGTTTCGATTCCAGTTCCATTTTTAGTTGTGCTATTTAATTCATTTATCTGTCTGGCGCTAACTAGTATTTAACCTTCGGAGTTTGTCTGTCACCTTCGGTTGACCGCCAATTTATTGTCTCCGACTAACTTTCTAACTCACGGTTACTCATCTTACTAGAACAATTCAAACTATTGAAACCGTATTTTCACATGGCGGAGCCAATAGGCCAAAGTGGGGGGGGGACCCACTGGGGATTACATCGTTTTGGCCCTCGACATTCGCAGAGCCACCAATGCTATGGGAGTTTTGGTTTAATCGTTTTCAATGGGGAATGGTGGCCAAACATAGCCTATATCCGAAGAACTTCTATTATGCCAGTACGTTAACAGCAGCGCAGGTTACGGCACTACCGGAGGAGGTAGACGGGAAAGATCGCCTGGCGTCGGAGCAAACGCTGATCTCGAACTTGTATTTGTGTCTGGGGGAGAAAGGACAGGATGAGCTACATAAGCGGAGGCCACATCTGGATTTATCTACAACAAGGTATTCTAGGGTATTAGATACTATCGAAACGGAATTTAAGAAGGAACGGAATAAAACTTATAAAACATTCCAATTATTGGCACGGAAACAACAAATTGGAGAATCCTTGGAGCAGTTCCACGCAGTGTTAAGCGGGCTGGCCGCTCGATGTGCTTTTGGAATGTTGGAGACCAGAATTCTGCATGATTTGTTCATTGTGAATATGAACAATAGAGAGGCCCAAAATGAGCTATGCCGTTCGACTAAGACACCAGAGGAGGTGTACCGTATTGCACTGTCATACGAACGTGGATACAAGTATGCTAAATCATACGGATCGGCAACCGGGGGAGCAACAACTAGTGGCCCCACCGATGGAAATGGAGCGTTTCAAATCAAAACGGAACCTGTGGGAACAATCCGAGGAGGATATCGAAATAATCGACAGCGCGGCCGTGGACGTTCAGAAGATGAACAGAGATGAGAGGGGGAGTTTCTAGAAGATGCTATAATTGTGACTAACCCAACTTCACTCAGGAACATCTTACGAAATGTCCAGCCAAGAATGTGACGTGTAATTTCTGCCGGAAGACGGGACATTACGAGAGAACTTGTCGGGGAAAGCGGAATAATCGGGGAAGACCGGCAGTGGGACCAATCCAAAATCAAGAGGATATGGAAGCTAGTGAAATAGGCGACGCTCAGGATACTTATTCGCAACATGAAAATTCAGTCGGCTGGGTTAACACACCGGTAAAGAAGCAACGATCGTGGGATTCGGACAGCTCAGGAGATTATGTTGTAATGGCCATCAAATCTCGGAGAGAAACTGAATTAAAGGTGGCCGGCGCTCGACTACCAATTAAGGTAAATGGGAAGAAAACGAATGTCTGGATAGATAGTGGATCTCCGATTTCAATATTTACCATTGGAGAACTAAGACGAACGTTGGGCACCGCAGGCGTGAACGTGAAGGCGCCAGCACCGGAGGACGACGAATTCGGGGATTAAGGAAACAATCCTGTACGGCTACTAGGAACAATGGACGTCTCGTTAGAAACGAACGGATGGTTGACTAACGCGAATATCAGAGTAATCGGAGGAAGCAGACCGTCGACTATTGGGAGAGACCTAATGCCAAATCTGGGATTGCAGATAGTGCAGAAGGCACCGGAGAAGAACGTGATGTCCATGCAGGGAGAACAACCGGGGGCCGAAGCAACAGAGGAGGAGGACTCATTAGACCCCTGGCAGATTTACTTCAGTAAGCAATTTAACAACCTTTTTAACAGAGTCGGGAATATTCAGAATTATAAGGTACACGCGGTCTGTAATTCGAACCGGTCGGATATAAGTGTTAAATTTCTAAAAGCATACATTATTGCCCACGGAGTTCCGCGACAAATTCGAGTTGACCAAGGAACAAACTTTATGTCCAAGGAGGTTCGGTCATTCTGCCACAAAGAGAGAACTGAAATGCTCATCTCGCCAGTTAATGATCATAGGGCAACAGGATGTGTCGAACGCACGATTGGAAGCATCAAGAATTCAGTACTTACGTATGCCCGGGAGGATAAACCGGAACCCTTGGATGGGATGGTTGAAAGAGCCCTCGGTGCCTTAAGATTTGCCAAAAACGCCACCCTCAACATAACACCGTTTGAAGCGCACCACGGTCGGGAAGCTAACACGGTTCTCAGAAATTTGACCAAAAAGCCATCATTATGGAATCTAAATTGGAAAAATGTAATACGTTCCAAATCTGCCTGTTTAGATGAACAAGACCCAAACGCCCAAGCAATGCCGGAACCAATGGATACGAACTGGGGAGTCCGATGTGATACAGAGTACGATCGGAAAAACAGGCGACACCCAATGAAACTGGCTGAGGTCCAAGCTGATAACCAGGATGATGAGCCTGGAATTGTGTGGGCACCGAATGAACCAGCTGAAGTACCGCCGGTAGTCGTAATGCAGAAGACCGGGGAGCGGAATATGAATAGGTATAAACCATTGAAATCCAGTATAGTTAATCAAAGTGATCACACTATTAAATTGAGTAATGGTGCTGTGCTTAGAAAATCAGGAGTAGCACTTAAGAAGGCGAACATTCCGAAAAAACGGGCGCCGGGACAAATCGCTGCACCACCAACGCCGTGGGACCTTAAACGGAAGTTACTAGCAAGTAGTAGTCAACAAAGCAGCTCAAAAGGCATCATGGGAACCTCTCACCGCACCATGGGAAACCGCTCAAGATTCCAAATTTTGGAAACCGCGGAGGATTCGGAATCAGACGAAGAGGACTATTTACCGCTCATCACAACTAAACCGGCTGTTGAACCGACAACTGGGGGGGGGGGGACAGATGCTGAAGGGGAGAGACAAGGAACGTCTAGTGGGGGACAGGACCAAGTACAAACCGAAACTATCACAATTCGACCTAGCAGAAAACGAACAGCAGTTACTAAGATGGGGGCGGTTATGATTGATACCATTCAAAAGGCGGATAAGTCAGGAGCGAAATGAAGAAAAAGATTAGAAAACATGAGTAACAAACTTACAAAACTTTATAACATGAGGAGGTCCAGGGAGAGGGCATGCCGTGCAGCGGCAAAACTCAAAAGTTAATGTTTTTAAATGTTGTCATAGTTGATTGCTAAAACTTAGTTGAAACTCGTTATTAACCTTATTGATTTGTTGATAACAGCATTGATAGTTAAAACTCGTTATTAACCTTATGGATTTATTGATAACAGCATTGCATTGGATACGTTAATTAAAGTCAATAATTTTTACAAGGAGGGAAATGTCATAGTATCTAAATTAGTTTATGTTTCGATTCCAGTTCCATTTCTAGTTGTGCTATTCAATTCATTTATCTGTCTGGCGCTAACTAGTATTTAACCTGCGGAGTTTGTCTGTCACCTTCGGTTGACCGCCAATTTATTGTCTCCGACTAACTTTCTAACACACGGTTACTTATCTCACTAGAACAATTCAAACTATCGAAACCGTATTTTCACAATGGACAATAGAACTAAAACGAAAGATGGCAAACAGGTTTTGAAAAACATAAAATCTCTACCGTCAAAAATTGCAAGACGAGTTTGAAGTCCTCGTCGAATGGCTGAAGTTGAAAAAAAGAATTGTCGCTTATCTCATTGAGACGTAGTTATCTGAAAAAACGTCTATAAATTGAACTTAATTTTTTAGGGCTACCAAGAATGTAAAAATTTTTCTCGCTCCTTGTGTGGCTCTTTATGTCCTAAAAGGAATTGTAATTTTAACACAAGTAAGCCAAGGAAAATTCAATACAAATGGATTGCTTCAAGCAGTATTGAAAAAATTGAATGAAAAACAATTGTAACAATTGCCGACAAACCATCGAGTTCTGTAAAGACAAGATTTTTAACAAATTCGAACTCATCTCAACAGTCATCTTATTGGCCCTAAAGATGAACATGTTGTTTGCGGCAATTTCAATGAAAAGATTCTCAAAAAAAGAAGAAAAAAATGAACGAATAATGATAGGAAACAAAAATCAGAAACCAAAAATACAAGAACCAACACATGAAACGAAAGCTTGCGACTCGATAGTAGATCTATTTGTCACATCAGTCAGAAAACAGACTGGTCTGACCATTTGTGCATTAAATTCGCTGCACATTTTGTCGAGAAATAGAATTGACCAAACAATACAAACGGCCATGGCGTAAATTGAACGAACAAAATACTAACGAGAAACTCACGTTCACGTTCTTTGTTTAACATGAACTGCCTAAGAAGCGAGGTAAATTCGACATGATCGACCTTGATATTGAAATTCATTTTGTAGTTCTCATTTAACGTGAGATTTTTCTTGCTAAAAAGACAAAAAAAAGAATATTGACAGGAAAGGAGGCAAGAAAAAGCTGCCTCAAAGAAAAAAAATTCTAAAAATTCCTGGACTCCAGACTAAACGCTAGTTAACAATCTGGTAGCTTAAAAAAAGAAATCAATTTTTGTCAGAAGAGGAGTTACAGACAAACAACAAAACAACAAAATTACTATCAAAGCAGATTGATGATAGCTTTAGCAAAAAATAGCCGCGGGTATTCAGCAATTTAAATGAATTTTAATAAAAGCCACTAAGCCAATCCAGTAAATTTATTTGGTAAAAGTGCTCGAAAAATCAAGAAAATTAAGCAACGTTTGGGAATTATTTCTCCAAAAACAATACCATTTCATTGACCTAATAAAAAGTTGATAAAAATTGCGCAAGCCTTGGGAGCGTTTTATCCGAGAGCAATACCAAATTGAACACCATAACAGAGCAATTTAAATCCTTTTTTTCAATAACATATCATCTCAGGGGATTAAAACAAGACTGCTCGTATCAGGGCAAAACCCTGAATGTTCCGACTGCTTTTAAAGGTCAATGAAGCAGTAATAACATGGAAAAATTAAATGTAAAAAAAATGAAAAAAAATTTTGTAAAAAAAATTTGAGGTTTTTTGTGAAAGTCATCCCCCCACACGCCATATAAAGTACAAAGTGATCGATTTCACTTCTAGTAACAAATCAATTTTGGCAAATAATAATAATAATTGTAGTTCCTGCGAATCGCAGAGGAGCTATCAGTAGGCCTTAACAGTCCTGTCGAGGATAGTCCATTTGTATTATCTCCCCACATTCCAGACAGTGTTAGTTTGCTGAGCGAAGCTGTTTTTTTTGCGACTCAAGGCCGTTTTTTTGCGTCTAGAACTTTTACGTGGTACCACTATTGCAGCCAAATTTGGTCAGGTTGTGGTAGACCTGAAGCTGGAGGTCAAGTGAGAGCTTGTCCTCGCCCACTATCATTGCCATGGCATGGGATCAAATACACGATCTGACTATTACAAAGTGAACGCCTTACCACTGTGCTAAGTGCCTCCTCAACTTCCTTTAAGAATAAGCTTGGTTTAACCAATTTGGAACGATTTCTAAGACGGATTAAATCTACGCTTACGCGTTAATAGCGCGAAATATATCGCGCGTTAATTGTCCCAAATTGGCCAAATTGACAGTTTTTAAACCCCCGTAACTTTTCGAAAAATGATCACAGGTGAAATATCTTTTCAAATTTGAGCTCAGGACAACAATACTTTTCGAATGATATTAAAAAATTCCGTCAAAAATGGCTAGTTAAAAAGTCAAAATTTGTCTGAAGAAAAAAAAAAACCCACCCCGAGCACAAATATTCCGTTACTTTCGTATCGAAAGTCGGAACAACAACTCAGTTCACATTCCAAAAAACGTACAAATTAGATTGCCATTACAACAATTACTTTGTCAGGAAACACTTGAAAAACTTCCTTGCTGATTTATCCACTTGAAACAACATTCCTTAATTAATTTGATTTTTTTGTTTTTGAATGCTGAACAAATGCAAAAAAATTCTAACGCAAAAAGCATGTGAAAAAAAAACTTTAAAAAATTCAGACTTTTTAAGCCAATCTTGAACAGCAAAAATACAATCGCA